GTGGTGAAGGGCCCCGCAGCCAGGGGGGGCAGGGTGCAGCTGTCCGGCGCCGCGGGGCCGGTGCTGCGGGAGCTGGGCGCATGGCTCCTGATGGCAGCTGCAAGGGACACCGTGCGCCCCTTACAGCTGCCATCAGGCGCCCCCCATGGGTTGGCGCCCTGGGCAGCTGCCTGGCTCGCCCATGCCTCCGTCTGGCCCTGCTTCCAACTCTATGATTCTGTGACATACATAAGTGGCTGCGAGATCTGGGCTTGGCTGTTTCCCATAATCCTGCCAATAAACAGATGCAAATGGTTGCCAGATACAAGACCGTGCGCCCCTTACAGCTGCCATCAGGCGCCCCCCATGGGTTGGCGCCCTGGGCAGCTGCCTGGCTCGCCCATGCCTCCGTCTGGCCCTGCTTCCAACTCTATGATTCTGTGACATACATAAGTGGCTGCGAGATCTGGGCTTGGCTGTTTCCCATAATCCTGCCAATAAACAGATGCAAATGGTTGCCAGATACAAGAACCGCCTAGAAATAGGCTGCAATGGCTCCTCTTGGCCAACGCCCCTGTTGTTGCAGCAACACTTGGGCAGGGAGACAGTCTGTCGTCCTCTCGATGCTCAAGTCCCCCTGCCAGCTGCCAAAAGTGGATTCTGGGAAAGTGCTGCTGGGGAATGGGAGGAGGCAGCAGCTTCAGGGCCTTGTTGCCTGGGCAGGGAGGGGACAGATAAGAGATGGGAGCCCAGAACCCCCCTTAAGCTTCAGTCTTTTCAGCCTGGCTCCCAGGGCCATCCTTAGGATTTAGGGGGCCCTACGCAGCGCTATTAAACTAGTGCCCCTGTGTCCAACAGCAGCCCAGGGCGGGGGGTGAATTTTTTGGGATGTGATTTTATAATCTGCAGCACCACACTAATGAAATATTTTAAAGCAAATTTTAAACTAAGATCTTATAGAGTCACACAGTACATTCAGAAATGGACGGTCTATACCTGGGGTTGGCAAATGGCTGTAAAATGGTTTCATTAGTGGGGGTTTTTTTGTAAGAAATAAGGTGCCGGTACTCTATGGGGAAAGTTGTTGAGCCAAAAAAAAAAAAAGGCTCTTTCACAGGTTGAGTGTTCTATTAACAGGTCTGACAGGATAGAAAGAGAAGTGGCAGGTGGATATTAAAATCCAGTGGTTCCTGAATTTTCAGGTGCCCTATGCAGCTGAATATTCTGTGTATGGGTAAGAACACACTGCAGGCCCACCTTCTGTCTCCCAGCCTGTTCCTTTATCCTGGATCCCACAATCCGTACCCCCAGCCCAGTCCCCCTGAGCCCCACCTTCACCAACCTGGCTCTCCTTGAGCCTGTGCCCCCCGAATTAGTTCTCCTTGCACCTCTGTCCTACTGCCTGGTTTTCCTTGAGCCTCTGCTTGTCCAACCCCATTTTGTGTCATTCCAACCAAATCCACCTCTCATATTCTACGCCCCTTAGGACTTTTCCCCCTTGAAGCCTTTGTTCCCGGCTCACAGTTTACTCTCTGCAGCCTGTACCTTTTCCCTGAGATAGCTCACCAGTGCTCCCCCCATCCTCCCACCTCCCACCCAAAGAGTGGTGATCCACAGTTTGGGAAAATCATGGACAGGAAAGAAATATATAGACAAAAAGAAAAATCACTGTATGCATGACATTTCCCCACCTAGGACAAACCTACAACTTTACTGATACAATGTGTTTCTATCTATCGGTATCCCTCTGTCAGCAGAGGGATGCAGATTAGGCAGGTCGACATTGCAAATGAGGCAGGGATTTAAATATCCCGTGTCTAATTTGCATAAAATTGGCCACCGCGTTTTGCCGACTCAGCACTTTTTCGGCAAAAAGTGGCAGTCTAGAGGGGGAGCTGTTAAGAAAGAAAGCCTTTTTTGACAGATCGTGTAAACCTCCTCGCAGGAGGCATAAGGAATCTGTCGAAAAAGGCTTTCTTTCTCGACAGATCCCCCTCTAGACTGCTGCTTTTTGCCAATAAAGTGCTGAGTCAGCAAAACGCGGTGGCCATTTTTATGAAATTAGGCGCAGGATATTTAAATCCCTGCCTCATTTGCTATGTCAACCTGCCTAATCTGCATCCCTCTGCCGACAGAGGGATGCAGTCTAGACATACCCTATCTGTGTATCTTACTGCCACTCATCATTATAGTACTACAGGTTGAACCTCTCGGCTGTGTCTACATTGGCACCCTTTTCCGGAAAAGGGATGCTAATGAAACCAGTCGGAATTGCAAATGCCACGGGGGATTTAAATATCCCCCGCGGCATTTGCATGAACATGGCTGCCGCTTTTTTCCGGCTCGGGGTTTTGCTGGAGAAAAGCGCCAGTCTAGACGGGATCTTTCGGAAAATAAAGCTTTTCTTCCTGATTTTAAGTAGGAATAAGGGATCTTCCGGAAAAGGCTTTATTTTCCGAAAGATCCCGTCTAGACTGGCGCTTTTCTCCGGCAAAACCCCGAGCCGGAAAAAAGCGGCAGCCATGTTCATGCAAATGCCGCGGGGGATATTTAAATCCCCCGCGGCATTTGCAATTCCGACTGGTCTCATTAGCATCCCTTTTCCGGAAAAGGGTGCCTATGTAGACACAGCCCTCTAGTCTGGTACTCTCCGATCCAGCAACATCCGTGGTCAAGCATGATTTTAGTTAGCTGGATGTTCTTTTATTAGATTTCCAAGTTGATGATGTCTCCTTAAATGTTAACTTATGAGATTTTGTTTTTTATAGTTTCCTCCATCCAATGTGTCCGAGAAGAAATTAGCCCTCCATCCATATTACAGTCTTTTCTGAATTAATTTATAAAACAATTTTATAGGTTTCCATGGTCCCATAAAGTTGTTTTACAATCACTAATCCTGGATTCAGCACCAGTTCTGTGCTGTTATTTAGCTCTAATTTATCCCTAAATGTCTCCTAAGAGCCCAGTAAGCAGCGTAAGTACTGGTAATGATGCTAGATACTATTGACCTCTTATCGTTCAGCAAATTCTCTGATTCAGCAACAGTCAGATCCCAATGGTGCCAAATGGGAGAAGTTCAACCTGTAGTACCCAAATCAGTAGCAATAGCTAAGTTAGAAAACTTCATGGAGTCTGACACTTTTCTTGTCTTAAAGAGAGTTTTTTGTTTTGATTTTTTTTGAATTTAAGATTTTATTCATTTTTCTTTTTAAAATTTTTTGAGTTGGTATGAGCATAGAGGCAAATAGGAATGAGATAGCATTGACTCCCCTATGGTGAAAAGGGTTTTTTTTTTTTTAATTTTCCCACAGTTTCAAATATAACAAACAGAAAAAATAGAGAAAATATGCATGCTTTAACTAACTTCTTTCAATTCTACTAATCTTAGATGTAATTGAACTATAGCAACTAAAAAATTGTCAGACAAATGTGATTTCCAAGTTGATCATATCTCCTTAAATCTAAATTTATGAGGTTTTGTTTTTTATAGTTTCCTCCATCCAATGTGTCCCAGAAGAAATTAGCCTGCTAACCATATTACAGTCTTCCCTGAATTAATTTATAAAACAATTTTCTGAGAGGCATAATTTTTAATTGAATATCTAAATAATTTAAATTAATATCACAAGACTACAGGAAATGCAACGATCTCTTGAAGCTAAGAAACCCAAAACATGAGAGGCCAAGTTCTGTTCTCACTTACAGCGATGTAAATCAGGAGAAATTCTACACTAATTCTTCAGTGTATTACTCTGGATTGATACAAATGTTACTAAGAGCAGAATTTGGCCTTTTGTCTTCAGTGCATTAACATGATTTTCAGTCCAGAGGAAAAGATTTAATTATATCAGTGTATTTTAGTAGGCACTATTTAGTGGTCCTGCACTGACACTTTCTCCTTTTATGACCTAGGTCAAATCACGTAGCTCTTCTGTGCCTCAGTGTCACAGCATTAAAACAGGGACAATAATCATATATTGATCCACTGTAACTATTTGTTAATTCACATTTGCCATGTGCTCTAGGAGTGTTTAGTATTGTCATTATCTCAGAGTAGCCCTAGGTGGCAGCCCCATTTTGGTCTGTTCTCTGTCCTGTCATAGCCAGCTGCAGAGCCTAGCTGCCATTACCTGGTTCAACACTTTCTGCAGGTAGGGGGTGCCCATGCGCTCAGCCATATGTCTGTAGGCTGGGTGGGAGAGAAAGAACTTCCGCTCTGCAGCCAGTGCAGCCTGAATGTCCTTCTTGCCATCAATGTCCTTCTGACTTCTGTTGACCACACCGATGTAACCTACCAGTCAAAAAGACCGTAGGTCAGAGGGCAGCACAGAGGATGTGGAGAAACATTGGACACAATGAAGAGACAATGCAGGGTATGGAGAGTCTGCAATATGATACTGGGAAGGGAGGACTAAAGTTCATCTAAATTCGAAAAGGGAGATTCTGCACTTGGACCTCTGGAGGAAAATGGAGACCCCACTGATAACTAGAACCATTCAAAACCAGTTGAAAAATGTAAACTTGAATTTCCTTTAGGCTCTGATATCTGGGAAGGAAAAAAGAAGGCAGGTGAAGAGCTACAATCACTATTGCTAACCAGCTAAGATTTGTGAATCTCCCATTATATTCATTATTGCATCCCCTCCCCAATCCAGTTATTTTTCTCATCCACCTATTATGTCTTGTCTTCTAAACTGTAATCTCTTTGGGGTAGGAGCTGTCATTTATTTTATCTTTGTATGGCACCTACCCAATGTTTGTTCTGTAAGGCCTTAGTTCTCAACCTTTCCAGACAGCTGTACCTCTTTGAGATGTCTGATTCATCTTGTGTGCCCCAAAGTTTCACCTCATTTAAAAACTGTTGGCTTACAAATCAGACAAAAATACAAAAGTGCCACAACACATGACTACTGTAATATTACTTTCTTTCTCATTTTTACCATATAATTATAAACAAAATCAATTGAAATAAAATATTGTACTTACATTTCAGGGTATGGTATATAGAGCAGTATAAACAAGTCATTTATGAAATTTTAGTTTGTACTGACTTCACTAGTGCTTTTTATGTAGTCTATGGTAAAACGAGGCAAATATCTTGATGAGCTGATGTACCCCTGAAAAAACTCTGTGAACTCCCAGGCCGTGTTGCCTCTCATTTTTTTCCATCCATTTGCAGAATAAATTTTGTTTTGTGAACCAAGGCACACGTGGATGTGCACCACCAGTAGAAACACATGCTGCCAGCTGTGAGTGTAGTGGGCACTCTGCTAATCAACTAGGCGTCACATGAATCTCTTCAGGGTGGCTGCCCAAGTGCTCAGCTTACAGTGAACACTGCCCTCACGTTTACTTGTTTTCCTGGTTGAGAACTGCTTTAGGGCTACCAAAGGAGGTTGACATTGCAGCTTCCTGTAGATCAGCCCTTCACAATACAAGCGACCATTCTTGGTGTTTTTCCAGTGTTGGATAAACACAGGTTTAATTCTTTTTATCATGATTATTTTACCTGCGTTGACCAGTTAAAATAAAACTGAAGTCCCCAATATAAATGTTGAAGAATAAGAATGAGAAAAAGAGAGCTCAGCTTCTGATATCCAGGATGGAAAGTGCGACCCAAGTTACCAGTCTACAACTTCTCGTCCACAGAAAAAGATATCACATAGAGTGGGATTCTGCTTTTGTTTTTTGGCTACCAGGACCCTTGTAAAGACATTCCCTGCAAAGGAGAATGGCCCATTTCCCCTTACAAGAGGTAGGGAGGTTGGTTTTCTCTCTTGGAATGAAGGGACCTCTTGTTCCAGCTTGGAACTGAGGGGACCAGGGAGGAGAATACTATTGTGGCACAATATCTGAGGAATGTTGGAGGAAGTTTAGGAGCAGGGGAAAGAAGGGAGCAGAACTAGGATGAAATGAAACAGGGATCCATACCTCTTCGAAGGGGAAGTAACTTGTTCTCTAGCACATCTCGTGCATCCGTTCCTTCATCCATGAGGTCCAGTTTAGTGATGACACCAATGGTGCGCTGGCCTATGGGGACACAAACAGATATGATTTAACGTGGACCAACAACAACTTCTTTAAACTATAGTTGGGCGGAGGAAACACTGCAAATTTCCTGACAAGTTTCCACAGGGGCTCATGAACTCAGCTCATGGGACTTCCAGTCTCAAGTTTGGGAAAGAGAGACTGGAGCACACCAGTGGGCTGGGAGAGGAGAGAGGGAAGATTGATTCTCAGATCCCCCTCCCATTCTGAGCTACTGCAGAAAGGCAACTTAGGTAAAACCACCTGCACTAACAGGGAAGCCTCCTTCAGGGAGAAGACGGGTGACTGTAGTGTGGGAAGCATTACAGATGTGGTCACCTCATCTCAAAAAAGATATATTGGCATTGGAAAAGGTCCAGAAAAGAGCAACGAAGATGACTGGGGTTTTGGAATGGGTACCATATGAAGAGAGATTAAAAAGACTGGGACTTTTCAGCTTAGAAAAGAGGAGACTAAATGGGGATATGATAGAGATCTATAAAATCATGACTGGTATGGACAAAATGAATAAGGAAAAGTTATTTATTTGTTCCCATAACATAAGAACTAGGGGTCACCAAATGAAATTAATAGGTATCAGGTTTAAAACAAACAAAAGAAAGTTTTTCTTCATGCAGGGCTCAGTCAACCTGTGGAACTCCTTGCCAGAGGAGGTTGTGAAGACCAAGACTTTTACAAGGTTCAAAAAAGAACTAGATACATTCATGGAGGTTAAGTCCAGCAATGGCTATTAGCTAGGATGGTTAGGAATGGTGTCCCTAGTCTCTGTTTGTCAGAAGCTGGGAATGGATGACAGGAGAGGGATGCCCACTGGCCACTGTCAGCAGACAGGATACTGGGCTGGATGGATCTTTGGTCTGACCCAGTCTGGCCGCTCTTTTGTTTTTATGTTTTCTTCACTGGAGGGAGAACCAGGAACTTCTGGAACAACAGCCCATGTTGAAGCATCTTCAGTGGGGTTGGACAGGGCACTGCCATAGGAGTCTGTGTCTGTTTCTTGAGCAGGGGATCATGTCTTAGCATACACCATTTCTCATGTCCAGGGATAAGGGAGAACCAGATCTAGCGCCATGCTAAAGCAAAAAGAGAGGCTGGATTTTACCTTGGGGGTCAACCTCCTTTGCGATCTTCAGGGCATCAGAGTTGGCCAGATCAGAGTTAGCTGGGGATACAGCCAGGATGAGGCAGTTCTCTTTGGTAACGAATTGCATGAGCATTTCCCGGATCTGGAACTCAATGTCAAGTGGCTGGTCTCCCACTGGGACTTTTGTCATCCCTGGTAGGTCCACAAGGGTCAGACTCAGGACTAGACAAGAGAAACAAGAGGAGAGAGTGAGGGTCCCAATAAGGGTAGCTTATATTTATGAGAGGCATCTGTAAATTTAAGTGTCTGCCACTGGCTTGCTGTGTAACCTTGGGCAAGTCACTTCATCTCTTTCTACCTCAGTAGAAAACAGGGATGAGGACGCTGACCTCCTTTTTAAAGTTCTGTGTGCTGCTGGTGATGAAAAGTGCTAGGTAAATAATCATGTTAATAGAGAAGTAGCACTTATCATGTCGAGTAGGAGACTAGGAGCCAGAAGATTAGGCAATATTCCCAGATTGTGTCTAATCGTTAGAGTGGGTCACAGGACTCCTGAGTTCTACTCCTGTTTCTATCCGTGACTGTGTGACCCTGGACAACTCACTTCTCACTCAGAGCCTCAGTTTCCCTTTCTATAAAATAGGGCTATTAAGATTGACTAGTCTCACTTAGGCTACATCTACACTGCAGCTCTTTTCACGGATACCTCTGATCCAAGGAACGCATCTGCTTTACTGAAAAAAATTTGGAAAAGCGGACGCGTCCTTTTGCCGTCCCTGTAAACCTTGTTGTACTAGGAAATAGGGACGTGCCAAAAGAGGATTTTCTAAAATTTGGCACCATGTAGATGCACCAAATTTCAGGAAAGCTTCTTCCGAAAGAAAAGTGGAAAAAGATATGCAAATTGCAGTTCACAATTTGCATATCTTTTTCCAACTTTTCTTTGTAGTGTAGACACATCCTCAGTTGTTTAGCAGTTTAAGGAGCTTTGAGATCCCTGGATGGAAGACTCCAGACAGGGACAAGTGATTATCAATACAAATATATTGCTGTGTTTTAATTTCTGTTAAAGGCTTTTTATTTGCCACATCCTAGTCTCCTCAGTCTCCTCCTGCCAAGGCACCTCAGTGTAAAGTGGGAGACCCTCCTTTCAGTATGTCTGATGTCTACACACCAAACAGTGCATACATGACTAGAAATATAAGCAGCATCTCCCCATCTTTGGTGCAGCAAAGAGGCACTGAGGAAAGAGACAGAAATACTGTGAGAAAGGGCTGATTTTCAGTGAGTCATTCATTCCATCTCCCTTTTGTATAGCAGTAAACAATGCACATCGGCTCATTATTTAAGAGAACAGGACCCATATTATACGCTATTGATTTTGATGGGGGATTCCACTTAAAAATACAATTGTGTGACATGATCCCAGATTTACTGTCAGCTTTTAAATCTGAACAACCACTTGAGCATCATTTGGAAGTGGCAATTACAGAGTGATGTTGGGGAAAAAAGGCCAAGCACAAGATGATTAACCAACTCTAGGGCATATCCTGCAATCCTTACTCAGACAAATGTCCAAATATCTATGACACAAGTTTTGCCTGATTATGGTCTATTGAACTGGGCCCATTAAGATTAGGGGCAGGATGTAAGGGGTAAGAAATTAGAGCAAAGGCAACAAGAGACCCTGTCTTGAAATCAGCGATTCTCCAACTGCGACATTCTATGGAGCATATGGAGAGACCTTTGCCATCTCCATTCTGAACAACACATATCCCCTCATCATAGTCTGAGAGCAGCTAATTTAAATGTTGAAAGAAAACCCAGCAGAGGTAATAGTGGAGTAGCACTGGCAGAGTATGAAGGAAGAGTTTCCAGCATCTATTTAGGCTTACAGAATTATTTAGTATTTCAATCAAAAAGAAAATCTCGTCAGCTATAAAGTCTTTAGAAAATCCTTAGTGGTCTATACAATCTTTATTTTTTATGGAGAGGGAGCTAATCTAATCCCATTTCAAATCCCATACCCCCATTTCCCTGTAGCACAGGCCTGGGCAAAATCTGGCACATCTGGCCCGTCAAGCCACCAGATCTGGCCTGCGGAGGCAGCGGGGAGCCCCAGGCAGGCTCCGCAGCTTGCCCTGCAGCCCTATGCACCCTGCAGAAAAGCAGCTGCAGGGCTCCATTTCTGTTTTGAAACTGGAGGAGAGGGGGAAGTTTTAGGAGCCACCCCGACCCCAGCACATTCCCATTGGCCAGTTTCTGGCAGAAACCAGCCAATGCGAGCTGTTTGTTAGAATAACAGGCAGCTAAGAAGAATCACGCCCCCTCTCCTGGGCTCAGTTATTCATGGAGCACATGGCCAGGCAAGCAGGCAGGCTGGCTGGGAAACATTTTAAGCCAGTGTTTCTTAAACTTTTTAAGACCAAGGAACACCAAACAATATTTTTATTTTATGTGGAACATCAAGGATTTTTTGTTGACCAAAAAAGAAAAAGAAAAAAAAGTCGCCTGCCCATTTAAGGGTGGCCATTTTGAATTCTGTTGTTCTCCGTGACACACCTCTGACTGCCTCGCAGCACCCTGGTGTGCCGCAGAACGCAGTGTAAGAAATACTGTTTTAAGCTCTGCAGGCAGGCAGGCTAGTTTGGCAGCTGACAAGTAACTATCTTAGCCACAGCCTGCTTCTGGCACCCTAGCCCTTTCCTGTCTCCCTCTTACACCCATACCCCCTCCCAGATCTGGCACCCCAATCTCCTGCCCCAGATCACAATCCCCTCTTACCCTAGGTCACATCCCAAACCCCTGCACTCCAGTCCCCTGCCCTCGGTCACAACCGCCTGCTTCATCCCAACTCCTTCCCAGACTCCGGTCTCCCACCTACACCCGAGTCCCTTACCCCAAGCTCCCTTTTGCACCTAACCTCCATTCCAGACCCCACATCTCCATTAATATCATGAAAGAGTGCAGCCCTCAACCACTTTCCAAAATCTTGGAGTGGCTCTCATCAAAAATTATTGCCCACCCCTCTGTTTGAGTATGGACCCAGGCTCCAGCATGGGGCAGCATGGTATTTTACTGCCACATGGCTGAGTGAGATGTCACAATGTATTCCAAAGGCTGGAGATTGTTCAGCATAGCCTAGCTTCTTGTGGGGATTAGGGAGGAAAGAGTCTGCACTGCAAGCTCTCAGGGCAGCTATCTCTGTTCTTACTACCTTAGCTCCAAGACAGAGCAGCATCAGAGAGCAGAGTAAACCCCACAATTCTATCCCCCAAAATACCCTGGTCTTGGATGCTGTACAGTACATACCATTGGGAGAGTAAACCCGGAGGTTAATGGGGACAGGGGAAATCCCCTTGTTGGAGCCAGTAACCCGGTCTGTCTCAGCCTCGATCTCCAGACGTATCTCTTCAAAGTCAGTGAACTTCTTCCCTTTGCAGTGTAGAAACTCTCCATATTCTAGTCAAACACCACAAGAAAGTTACAGATAGTTTCCTCAGCCCAATAGGGACAATCAAAACGGATAAGCTGTGGCAAAGATCTCAACCTCTAGTGCCGGGAGGCTAGCAAAGAGGAGGTAACTAAGGTACTACTATCAATAACAGCAGCTGAGGGAATCCCCTTCCGCTCAACCCAGAGTACCGCTGATCCTTAGTTCATGTCCCAGCAGGGAGAGAGTCCTCACCTTGATATCCAATTAATGATTCAAGTCTTCCTCTGCTGAAACCAAGGCAGCTAAATATACGCCTGCCTGCAGGGATGAATGCTGCCACACACACACACACACACACACACACACACACACACACACACACACACACACACACACACACACACACACACACACACACTGCAGTGGAACAGTGCTTAGTGTTGTGTGATCAGTGTCTGTTACAGTGTTGAGGGAAACAGAGGTGTCATCCTCTAATGGCAAGAGGACCATATTTCTGCTTACCAGTTACTCAAGCAATAGAGCTACTGCTTTACAGACCCGAGAAACACAAACTGGGATAAGTCTCCCACACTTTCAAACTCTTAAGAATTCTGCCACTCATGCTCAGCAATCCCTCTGATTTCAATGAAAGTTCTGCACAGGAAACACTAGTAAAGTCTGACCCTAAATTACTGGCAGAAAAAATTCTCCTTGCATCTTCATGGTGAAACTTCAGATCCCATTGGCCCATTTTAGTGACAGCAGAAGAGACAATTTTAGCTAATGTACTCCTGATGTAAATAACTATGCCCAAATGTCATTTATTTTTCTGTAACTGACATCTGATGCTTAGTTCTCAACACATTTAAATATTACTATAGAAACTCAGTTATGAACACCAGAGTTATGAATTGATCAGTCAACCACACACCTCATTTGGAACCTGAAGTATATAAACAGGCAGCAGCAAAGACAAAAAAAGGCAAATAGGGGGAAAAAAGGCTCTGCAACTAAACTACTTTAAAAAAAAGAAAGACTTGACAAGAGGAAAAAAGGCTCTGCATTAAACGTAAACTACTTTAAAAAAAAGAAAGACTTGACAAGGTAAGGAGACTGTTTCTATGCTTGTGTCATTTAAATTAAATGCAAAGCAGCATTTTTCTTCTGCATAGTAAAATTTCAAAGCTATATTAAGTCAATTTTCAGTTGTAAACTTCTGAAAGAACAAACATAAGGCTTTATGCAAAGTTACAAACATTTCAGAGTAACCGACAACCTTCATTCCCAAGATGTTTGTAACTCTGAGGTTCTACTGTAGTAACCAATCCTAAGAAAAGCTGGCTACTGGGAATCCAGTCTCATCCATGCAATAAATTATGGGTCTGCAATTAAGGGAAAGTCATAAGGAGCTTGATGAACCTACCTCATAAATTGAGCACAAGCCGATGAGAATCACTTTGCCCCTGAACATTTAATGCACCCTACATTTTAAATAGGCTGTAATGAAAACTGGCTAAATGAATACTATTTTTAGGGGACAGATTCCGATTTGCTTTCTCACAATGAGTAGTACCATTGATTTCACTGGGACTGCTCTCAGTAAAATGCTGAGCACAAGTAACAAAGCCTGGGTCCTAGTGAGTTTAGTGCTGTCAAAAAAGTGTCAGTTTGACAGCCTTGTAGACTGTTGTCTTCTGTCCCTGTTCTGTGGGAAGAGTTCAGCAAATCCTAAGATGGAATGGCCATTTCCAGGAGTGAGGCAAGTTCATCTCCATGTCCCAATCATTCCTGAGCCCTTTCTGAGAAGGTCAACAAATGTGCCAATTTGGTGTCAGTTGTGGTGATAGGTTGTGTGATGTGGATATCTATCTCAGCTGTGGTGATAGATATCCACATCACACAACCTATCTGTCCATGGGAAACAGAGTGAGAACAAACTTGATTTGCATAGGCCACCCAAAGGCTATGTCTACACAGCTTCCTTCTTCTGCAAAAGCCTATGCAAATGAAGCACAGATTAGCATATGGCTGCACTTCATTTGCATAATTAATTAGGAGCTGTTTTTGCGCAAACCCCCCTCTTGCGCAAGAGCCATTCTTCCTCATTTTTAAAGGAAAAACGGCTCTTGCGCAAGAGGGGGGTTTGCGCAAAAACAGCTCCTAATTAATTATGCAAATGAAGTGTGGGAATATGCTAATCCATGCTTCATTTGCATAGGTTTTTGCAGAAGAAGGAAGCTGTGTAGATGTAGCCAAAGTGTGTAAGATTTTTCAGTACATTCTGATTATATTCCTAGAGAGTAGTCATAAAGTGTGTTAGAGGTTGGCCATGAATATTTTTTCTGTCTGGGATATAGCACTACAGAAAATGGTGGTGGCTGCACATTCCCTTGTGCCATGCGCTGGGTTAGGGAGGGGATGGAGAAGACTCACATACCTGTTGTAGAGGTTACCAGCTGCAGGACCAGTGGGCGCCTGGTGACAATGCCAGATCCCCGAGGCAGGAAGTCCCTGAAAAGAAAGGGGAAGTTTTAATGAGTGATGCTTCCTTCCTTCAATGGCACTTCCTTCCAAAATTCAAGGCACTGGAAAGCAAATTTCCCTCCCCTGAAGAAAATAAAGTTAAAAAGGGAGATTTCCAACAGCGCCTGAAGGATTTAGGTGCACAACCCCCCTTTGAAAGTCAGAGATGTGCTCCTAAAGATGTGCTCCTTTGAAAGTCAGAGATGTGCTCCTAAATCCCTTAGACAATTCTGACAAACCCCCTAAAGGTATTCTTAATACACTGATTTTTACAGAGCTCTATCTTTAACACTCCCCACAGTACTGGAGAGACCTGTGTCTCGTACTCCAGAATGCAGGGGAGGATGGGACTGCCACAGCTCAGAGTGCAGGAGAGTCCTGCCTCACCAACAACCCTGTTCCAGATTGCTGGAAAAGCTTGTACCCTTCCCCACCCCCAAAATGGTTCCCTCCATAAAACATACAGCATTTCTATGTCAATCTAATACAGCTTTCTATAATCAAGGAGCAGACGCCTGGGTCTGGAGAGATGAATCCAGATTTAACAGAAAAACAACAACAGAAGGGAGAAATCCAAGCAACATTTGAAATGCTCAGAGACTCATGGGATGTTGTGATGTAAAGAGGATTGGGCTGGTTAGTGATCACTCAAGCCCTGTACCTTGGATTTAGAGGAGAGGCTACACTGTTCAGACATGGCATATGATCCTTCTGCAACAAAATCCATAGCAGACAAGGGCTTGCCTCCACTCCTTCTGGCTGACTGCTGAAAGCCAAGAGCTGCTGCCAGTCATCAGCCACAGCAGCTCCTTCCAAAACCAATTCACCAAATGGTCAAGTTGCTAGAATGCATGACATTTCAGAGAAGGAAGGAAACCTGTCTACATCCATTTCCTAATGCTGACTAAAGCAGCCAGAGCCCACACATGCTTTTTTCTTTCTTTTTCATCCAAATGCTTCTCTCTTTTTTTTAAAGCTAGGCCGACTTATTGCCTGTATTGATGACCTTGCTTGTGCACTTCCCTTGCTCTCAGCTGCAGCTGCTGCGTTTTGCTGGGGCTTCTTGTGGTGGCAAGGTTTGGGGCTGTGATTGGTGGGGTTTGTCCCCCCATCTGGCACTGCAGCTGAGGTCTAGGGGAAGGGGTTTGGGGCGGAGGGGTCACTTACCCGGTCCATTGGCCAGTAAGATGGCAAGCCCCAGCCCCAGCTGGCTATTGTCTTGCTGGTGTGGCTGCCCCCAGTGGTAACTCTGAAAAACAGCTGCTCTTCTGATCAGCCCTCTCCCTTTCCATGCGATGGAAAACAAGCGGATTCAGTCACATCCCATTTTTCTGGCACAACCAAACCCTAACCTTGCTTTAAGTTAGGATAAGAGGAAGCTGCCTACCAAATTTGATTGTCTTAGCTCTTACAGTTTAGGAGGAGTTCTTAAACAAATGGACTCATGGATGGACAGACAAACAGACAGATGCACATTTCTAAAATATATAGATAGATTTAAATTCTCTATGTCTCCATTTCACCGTCTGTAAAATGGGAGTAATAATATCTCCCTCTCTCATGAGGTGCTGTGAGGGTAAAATTCTGTAAAGATTGGAATGGGCACAGCTACTATTATGAGGGAAGGACATAGAAATAATTATATATTTCTTATACCCAATAGCTCTATATCACAGCAGGTGAAAAATCTGCTGTCAATTGTAATATAATTGTAGTGTAACTCTGGAGTAACAACATAGAAGTCAATGTGGTTGCACTAGATTTACACTACAGCAACTGAAAGGAAAATTTAACCCATTCTCAATATTCCAATCCTTTCAGAAATCTGTGTTCACTGAAGTCTTCTTTTCAACTCCCCTTTTCCAAAGAACAGAGCCCAAGTTTCTTTATACCATTAGAATTACAGCTAAAGCCACTGAGTCTCTATATCATTCTAGGTGCTGGCTGCTCTCTCATCTCTGTTTACATAAAACATTGTGGGCAATATTCCAAATAAAGTCCCACTCTAGTGTTACAATATTTTCTTCTGACATAACTGACGTCAGTATTTATACATCCAAGAACTGTATTGACTTGTTCTTTTTTACTGTGATTAATTAGGGCTGTCAAGCGATTAAAAAATATAATCACGATTAATGGTGTGCGCCTCCCCTTTGAAACACTGCCATGGTGTTTCAACGGGGAAGTGCTGCATGGAGCCCAGGATCAGCTAGAGTCCCCAGCTGACCCCAGATTCCATGGAGCACTGCCCCTTTGAAGTGCAGGGGCAGTGTTTCCAAGGGGAAGCACAAGGTGGAGCCCGGGGTCATCTGGAGTCCCCAGCTGACCCCGGGCTCCATACAGCGCTGTCCCTTTGAAGTACCGCAGTGGCGCTGTGCTGCCCCTTGGAAATGCTGCCCCAGCACCTCAAAGGAGCAGCACATTAGGAGCCTGGGGTCAGCTGGGGACTCCAGATGACCCCGGGCTCCACCTTGTGCTTCCCCTTGGAAACACTGCCCCTGCACTTCAAAGGGGCAGTGCAGCATTAACGCCTGTGATTAACGCGTTAAAAATGTAATGCGTTAATCCTGGACTGCAGGCGTTAACGCATGTCAATTGACAGCCCTAGGAATTATATCATGAGTGAATGATGTTCTATTACTACACACTCCCTTCTCCAGGACAATATATATGGGCCTGATTCTGTATGCTGATTAGCATCTTATGCAAAATGTCCAGTGCCCTAAATTCCCATTGTAGTAGTGGGAAATGTGCGCCTTGCAAGATAGAGCCTAATGGAACAAAATTGCTCTTCACAATAATCTTTGTGTCTCTCTGCTCTGAAGCTTGATTACTATTGATTCCTTATTTGGATGGATGTGGATGCAGATATGTGCAGCTCAGTTTTGTGGGTATGGATGCAGATGCGGTTACAAATTTTGTATCCACGCAGGGCTCTACTTATATTATGCCCTTTGATAGTTTTTGATAGTTGGGATTGTCCTACCAATGCATTTCCTCCTGGACACAAAATTTAAGGTTAGTCACCCAGGCCCGGTGAATGCCCAAGGCAGCACGCTGAGCCGCATGGCTCCTGGCAGGGTGGGCAGGGCTGAGAGTTGGGCAACACGGGGCCCTGAATGTGCGGAGCCATGGGGCCCTGAATGAGCAGGGCCCAAGGTGACCACCTCTCTCCTCAAAGGCCGGGCCTGTAGTCACCCAAACCCGCCTGATTGCCCTGACTTCAGTTTATTTGCCTGGGTGAAAATTGGCACAATTTGGTCTCTAATTCAGAGAGGAATTTAGGCCCCCACCTGTAAATTAGCAAAGAACATGTGGAATGTAACCTGCATGGCTCCTATTGACTTTAACAAGAGTCAGGTGGCTCTAACTGTTAAAAAATACCAAACAGTGTTATGCCAATGAAAACAACTTGATGAAATTGACACTGAGAAAAGCAAGGAGGCCCTTTGGCTGGTTGCTTCAGTGATGAATAATATTTCCTGCTTGACAACCCATCTGCTGACTTCTGGACAGAATCCCTCTTCCCACAGTATGCCTGCTCCTTCTCCCTTGTCCCTGTCTTTCTGCAAATGTATCGGTGCTGCCTTTCCTGCTCAAGTGGAGTCCATTCCATTGGTGGAACCCTACAACTAGGGACTGGTAAAATGCAACAGCTAGCTGGCTACAAGCCTAGCCAAGCCAGGCAAAAGACAGGGACAAGGATGCTTGTCAGCTTCTTGCAGCAGGCTTAATAAACTGTTCCTGCCAATGAAATACACTGACAAAGGCAGTGTGGCCCTGACTAGTTGCTTAGTTGTAGCCTCCTTGAAAGAGGTGTTAGGCCCAGTACAGGAAGGGGGAGAACTATATTAGCACTAATTTTGTTCTCTGCTTTGGAAGAAGGATTGTAAAGTGATTAAATTAAATCAGAGACAGGGAATTGATGCAGGAGACAAGGACAATTAGGCTACATCTACACTGCAGGCTTTTTGCGCAAGAACAGCTGTCCTTACACAAAAACACTGCATACGCGTACTTGCGCAAGCAAATTTACAGTAAAGCGTCAGAAAACAGGGCTTCTTGCGCAAGAGTTATTCCTCTCCCTGTAGTAAATTTATGCAACATCCCCATAAGGAATAAGCCCTCTTGAGCAAGAGTACGTCCACAAGAAGGCTGTGTAGACAGGCAACAGGGGTTTCTTGTGCAAGAAAGCCCTATGGCTAAAATGGTTATCAGAGCTTTCTTGCACAAGAGAGCATCCACACTGCCATGGATGCTCTTGCACAAAAGCACATCTCTTCCACAAAAGCACATGTCAGTGAGGATGCACTCTTGTGACAGACCTTTTGCACAAGAACTCTTGCACAAAACAGTTCGTGCGCAAGAAGCCTGCAGTGTAGGCGTAGCTAAATATTCCAGATAACTTGGGCAGAAAAAAGCAAAAAGGTTAGAGAAACTGGCTTATTCTGTTCCACGAAGGATGTGTAAGGTAATGAGGCTAAGGCAAAAAATAGAAAATAGGAAACTATGCCTTCAGTGATAACATTGCTCAGTTCTGTAGCATGACATGATGAGGATATTTCAAGTTCTAAAACAAAGGAGACTCTGGGGTGACATAAAAAGCAGTGCAATTTCTGCATGTCATTACACAAAACACAGTACAAAATGTGGTGAATGAAATATGATGCTAAGTCAAACAGGAAGCTGCTGTCTTGAACACGACTCAAAGTGGAGTAGAGAGAATCTTACATTAACAAAAACAATTAAACTGTGTTTAACATCCCTGACATCTTTGAAACATTCTGACTTTCAAGGCTTTTGAATATGAGCTACATTTTCTCTACCCTACACCTCATGATCAGCATAGGCCTCCTGAAATGGTAATGAAACCCCCCAGTCCCACCACTGAGGGAGACAGCCGCCCCATTCACATAACGGACGTACTGATTTTCCATGCACATCTGACTTGATTATTGGCGCATGGCAGGGACGGTCCGGGGCCGGGG